TAGACAGTAATCCAGTTTCCTCTCTTGCATTTAGCTGTCCAGTTTGGCCAACACCATTTATTGAAGAGGCTGTCATTTCTCCATTGTATATTCATGGCTTCTTTATCATATATTAATTGACCATATATATGTGGGTTTATATCTGGGCCTTCTATTCTGTCCCATTTATCTGTGGGTCTGTTCTTGTGCCAGTACCCTATTGTTTTGATTACTGTAGCTTTGTGGTATAGCTTGAAGTCAGGGAGTGCTTTGTTCTTCCTTCTCAGGATTGCTTTGGCTGTTTGGGGTCTTTTGTGGTTCCATATGAGTTTTAGGATTATTTTCTCTAGTTCATTGAAAAATGCTGTTGGTATTTTGGTAGGGATTACATTGAATCTGTAAATTGCTTTGGGCAGGATAGTCATTTTGATGATATTAATTCTTCCTATCCATGAGCATGGGATAGATTTCCATTTATTTGTGTCTTCTTAATTTTTCATGAGTGTCTTAGTTTTCAGAGAACAGGTCTTTCACCTCCTTGGTTAGGTTTGTTTGTTCCTAGATATTTTCTTTTGATACAATTGTAAATGGAATTGTTTTCCTGATTTCCTGTTAGTTCATTATTCGTACATAGGAATGCAACAGATTTCTGTTAATTTTCTATCCTGAGACTGCTGAATCTAGTTATTAGTTCTAATAGTTTTTGGTGGAATTTTTAGGGTTTTCTATAATTAGTATCATGTCATCTGCAAACAGTAACAGTTTTACTTCTTCCTTACCAATTTGAATGCTTTTTATCTCTTTATCTTGTCTGATTACCACAGCTAGGACCTCCAGTACTATGTTGAGTAAAAGTGGTGAGAGTGGGCATCCTTGTCTTATTCTGAATCTTAGAGAAAAAACTTTCAGCTTTTCACTGTTGAGTACGATGTTAGCTGTGGGTTTGTTGTATATGGCCTTTTTATGTTGAGGTACATTCCCTGTATATCCATTTTATTGAGTTTATCATGAATGGATGTTGAATTTTTTCAAATGCTTTTTCAGCATCTTGAGATGATCATGTGGTTTTTACTCTTTTATTAATGTGTATCTTGTATCACATTAATTGATTTATGAATATTGCATCATCCTTGTATCCCTGGAATGAATCCCACTTGGTCATGATGGAGGATCCTTTGATATATTTTTGAGTTTGGTTGCTAATATTCTGTTGACTTGCATATGTTCATCAGGGATATTGGTCTATAATTTTTTTGTAGTATCTTTGATTTTGGTATTATTAGAGTGATGCTGGCCTCATAGAATGAGTTTGGAAGTATTCTGTAGACTCTTCTACTTTTTGGAATACTTGAAGAGGGATGGGTATTAGCTCTTCTTCAAATGGTAGAATTCAGCTGTGAAGCCAACTGTTACTGTGCTTTTCTTGAGAGTTTTTTGATTACTAGTTCAATTTCATTGCTGGTAATTAGTCTGCTGAGATTTTCTTCCTCGGTCAGTCTTGGAAGGTTATATTTTTCTAGGAAGTTGTCCAATTTTTCTAAGTTGTCCAATTTATTGTGACTGTTCTGTTCTGTTTCTCATTTTATTTATGTACTCCATTTTTTTTCTTGACAAGTCTGGCTTTGGGTTGGTCTATTGTGTTTATCTTCTCAAAGAACCAGCTCTTAGTTTCAGTGATTTTTTTCTATTGTTTTATTTTCTATTTTATTTATTTCTGCTCTGATCTTTATTATGTCCTTCTTTCTACTAACTTTTTATTTGTTCTTTTACTAGTTTTGAGTTTAGACTTTATTTGGGATTGTTCTTGTTTTCTCAGGGAGGCCTGTATTGCTAATGTTCTTTCCTCTTAGAACCAGTTTTGCAGCATCCCACAAATTTTGAACTGTTGTCTTTTTGTTTTCATTTTTCTCCATGTAGTGTTTGATTTCTACTTTGATTTGTTCATTGAGCTATTGATTATTTAGAAGCATGTTGCTTAGCTTCCACATGTTCATGTTTTTTTTTTGTTTTCTTCATGTAATTTATTTCTAGTTTCATACCATTGTGGTCTGAGAAGTTGATACAATTTCAATATTTTAAAATTACTGAAGCTCTTTTTGTGGCCTAGTGTGTGATCATTCTGGAGAACATTCTGTGTACACTTAAGAAAAATGTGTATTCTGCTGCTTTTGGGTGGAATGTTCTGTAGGTATCTGTTAAGTCCATCTGATCTAATGTTCAGTGCTTTTGTTCCCTTATTTACTTTATGTCTGGTTTGTTGGTCTATTCATGTGAGTGTTATGTTAAAGTCTAAGGTGAATTAAAGTGTATTTTCCCCTTAAATTGTTAGTATTTGTTTGACATATTTAGTTGTTACTGCATTGGGTGCATAGATGTTTATAATGGTTATGTCCTCTTGTTGGACTGACCCCTTTATCATCATGTAATGTCCTTTTTCTTGTTACTTTCTTCATTCTGAAGACTATTTTGTCTGATAAAAGTACTGCTCCTGCTTTTTTCTCCTTGTTGTTTGAATGAAATATCTTTTTTTCCATCCCTTCACTTTCAGTCTGTGTATGTCTTTAGATCTGAAATGAGTCTCTTGTAGGCAGCATATGGATGGGTCTTGTTTTTTATCCATTCTGCCACTCTGTCTTTTGATAGGTGCATTCAGTCTGTTTACATTTGAGGTATAATGATAGATATGTACTTATTGCCATTTTATTATTTTCTGGTTGTTTTTATAGTTCCTCTGTTCCTTTCTTCCTTTCTTATACTCATCTCTTGTTATTTGATGGTTCTCTTTAGTGTTGTGATTGGATTTCTTTTTTTTTAATTATTTTTTGTGTATCTACTATATAGGCTTTAGGTTTGTAGTTACCATAATGTTCATGGGTAGTTTCCTAAATATATAACAGTCTATATTAAGTTGATGATCACTTAGTTTCAAACAGTCTAAAAGTGCTTCAGTTTTACTCTTCTTTCTCCACACTTTACAAAATTAGATGTCATAATGTGCATTTTTTGTGTGTATCCCTTGACTGATTTTGTGTAGAGTTGATTTTACTACTTTTTGCTTTGTTGTAATTTCATACTTGCTTTATAAGTAGTTGGACTAGTACCTTTACTGTGGGTTTATTTGCACTGGTGAAAAATATTTAGGCTTAGGAACATTTCTGTCCACATAAGTTCTTTTAACATATCCTGTAATGCCAGTTGAGTGGTGGTGAATTCCTTCAGCCTTTGTTTATCTGGGAAATTTTAAATCTTTCCTTCAATTTTGAATGATAACCTTTCTGGGCAGAGGATCCTTAGTTGAAGATCCTTTTGTTTTGATACATTAAATATGTCCATTGTGGCCTGTAAAGTTGCAAAATCTGCTGATAGCTTGATGGGGTTTCCCTTTTGAGTAACTTTTTTTTTTCCTCTGGCTACTTTCAGTACCCTCTCTTACTTAGTCTTTGCCATTTGTAATTATGTGTTGTTGTTCTCCTGGGGTTCCTCTTGTTAGGGGCTCTCTGTACTTCCAGGACCTGGCTGTCTAATTCCTTCATTAGATTAGGGTAGTTTTCAGCAATTATTTTATCAAGGAGACTCCATACCCCCTTTTCTCCTTCTGGTACCCCTATTATGCAAATATCATTTTGTTTGGAATGGTCACAGTTCTCTTAGCATCCTCTCATTTCTAGAGATTCTTTTTTGTGTTCCTCAGCTTCATTGTTTTCCTGTTCTCTAATTTCCATCTTATGGACTTTCTGCTGTCCTTGGAGCAATCTGTTATTCATTCCTTCCTTTGTATGTTACTAATCCTCTCAGCTTTGTCTGATCAGCTTTTAAACCCATCTGTTATTTATTGGGTTTTTAATTTTGGTTTTTGTATTTTTAAACTCTAGAATTTCTACTTGATACTTTTTTGTAGTTTTCATTCATCTAATTTTTCCATTTTGTTATCTAAATTACTGAATCTATAAATCACAGTTATTTTAAAGTCTATTTCTGAAAACTCCAATTGTTTATCTTCTGTGGATTTGTTCCATTGTGACTTCGTTTTTCTCTTATTTCTTCCATCATATTGAAAAGGTCCTACTTACTGCTATTTCTAGAAAGTTTTGATAGAATTCTCAACATTGAATATGAAAAATGGGATAATTTGTGACTCTTGCTCAGGGTTCTGCAAACTATGCCCCATGAGCCAAATCCCACTTGCCACATTTGGGCTAAAAATGTTTGCTATATTTCAAATGGTTGAAAAAATAATTAAAAGAATGTTCGGCAACACATGAAACTTGCATAAACATCAGACCTAAGTAGCCATAAATAGTTTTATTGTAATATAGCCACATTCATTCCCTACACACTGTCTGTGGCAGCTTTTGTGTTATAGTAGCAGAGTTGTGTAGTTGCAACAGAGACCTTATGGCCCACAAACCTAAAATATTTATTGTTGCCAACCCCTGCTCCAGCTGGTAATGATACCTTTCTCTAAAAGAGGATTTACTTCTGGTAGGCCCTTAGGTTATCAGGAAATCAACTTAATTCATTCAGAGATTCAGCTGATTCAAAGCTAGCCTTACATTTTTATAAGGGCTGGTTAATTTCTGGTTCACCTCTACTGGGGAGTAGTTATTCAGGGGTTCCCTCTGAAAGCCCAGTGTATTTACCCAGCTTCCATGTATTTCACTAGTCCCAGTATTTCAGTGCTGGTTCATTCCCTAAAAATTTCCTTCTCTGTGAGATGTGGCTTTTCAAATCTTCACTACCTTAGAATATTTGTCCCAGTATTATTTGCTTATACAAATAAAGAAAAATCCGTTTAAAGGCATGAAGGAAATACTAAGGCAGTGAGGGTTTGAAGAGCAGTGATCCAGAAAGAAGGAAAGCTGTAGAGGATGAACCAGTGCTGAGGAGTGGAGTATGTGTGTCTATTTTCCAGCTTTTCTAGTGTTTGTAGGGATTGGCTCTGCTAGGACCCAGAATGAAATGATCTGAAATAGAAGTTCAGAGTGATCACAACACATCCCTACCCCAGATTCTCCAATGGCTTAGGATAAACCAAATACTTTTATTACCTGAATCACTACATTAGCACTTAATCTGAATCACTTCATAAATTAGACTAAAAACAGGTGGGTCTGAAGAAGCACAGATGGAGGAAAGCACAAATTTGTTTTACCACCAGTGTACTAGTCACTAACTGGTGTAGGACTTAACATTATAAATGAATATACTCATTTGCTAGTGGGAGTCATTTAAATTTTTTTCTTTTCATTAATTTTTGAGATATAACTACAAGACATGGATATTCTTTTAAGTGTCCATCTCAATGAGTTTTGATCCTTGTATGTACCTAGGTACCAACACCTCAGTCAAAATGCAGAGCATTTCCATCACCTTAGAAATTTCTCTCCTTATATTTGCCAGTGAATCTTCCTTCTACAGAAGCACCCACTGTTCTGATTTCTGTCCCCAGAGATCATATTAATTTTTTAAATAGAAAATTCTAACTGTTGGTCATAACATTGCCATCAATCTGTGGATGCTGCAAATGCATTTCCATTGTTCATATTTCACCTTCATTTCTGGATACCAGGTTCCTGGTGTTTTTAGGTCAAGTCTGTTTGTTAATCCATGAGTCTAGTGCAGAGCCTCTTTGATGAATAGAAGCTGTGCTAATGTAATAGTTATACATTATAATTAAGTAATACATATAGCCTCATCTTTTGGAATACTATTGAACTATACCAAATTATTTAAAATTTAATTCCTTGAATTCCAACCCATGTATTTCCATGGCAAGTCACATACATTATCTCAATACTCAATAGCCTTTGGAAGTAGGCAGGGGGAAGTGGTATTTGCACTTTATAATTGGAATAAAAGAGAAAAATACAATAAATAATTGACTTGTACAAAATTCTCTTATTCTCTTTCCATTAGTCAGTGGTGGCAGGACTAGATTTTTATTTTGTGCTCATTCTACTACCATCCTAGGCTGCATGTACACAAGCAAAAAGCCAGCTTGTATTCCAAAATTCAATTTCCTTGTTTCTTCTCTGAAAACTCATAGGTTTCCCATTCCTTCCATCCTCCAGCATAGTGTTGGGCACTGAAAACATATGTCAAACAGTTAGTGCTGTTAACATTTTCTCCTGCTTTATAACATAGGCTGAAAAAGGAACTTCACAGAGATTTAGAGATGCAATGGCTGTTTACTATACTATTTAGACTTGCAGCCTATAAAAAGATTAACTTTTGAATAGGATGATAGAGGCTCTTATCCTGCCATTATTCACATAGTAGTTACAAGAAATTCTTCAGTACACCAATAAAAATGTAATACATACAAAACACTACAATATACATTCCTGAATCCATTTTTATCCTTTATCTACACACCTGTGAAATCCCAGAGATAATGCTGTGTACAGAGCATTCTTGCTTCTCACTCCAGCTAAACAAGAAAACACTACACTGTCAGATTTGGATGGCTGTACTTCTTTGTATCTCTGTTTGAAGTCTTCCGCATTCATCTGTAGAGCTTCACCTACCTCATCCACTGAAAGAAAACATTGAGAATTTCAATTTTAGATACAGTAAACTACTGAATATATATTTCTGTAGTGAATCAGTTTAAGACAGATGTCACTTACATGGTATATTGATAGACCCAGGGATTTTTCCATACACGAGAATTTCCCATCTCTCTCTGACATCAATTAACATAATTTTTTTGGAATTCAAGAGGTTTTTAAGCTCCTTATAAGTGACATCTTTAAAAGCAGCAGTACAAAAATTGTGGCAGCTTCCTTTGATTGACTTCAAACCTGGAAAGAATAAATTAAGTGCCTTCAAAATGACATCACTATTAATGTCTGGAAAGAATAGTTCAAAGGAATTCTAGTTCCAATTAACAAATGACAGTTGATCTTTTGACTGTACCAAGCTGTGTATTCAATGTGTGTATTTCACAAACAACCTAACTGATTTGAGGGATGCAACTTTACTTTCCTGCCCTGCATGCTTAATGGCTGGCCCTGTGCCAGCTCTACATCTACTCTGTCCAAGCCCCTTAATTAGGGTGAGCTTGTATCCACGTTCAGCATTTGGTAACTGAATTGTGCAAATAATTTATAAATCTAACCTTAATCCAAGTTACAATATGAGAAAATTTGAATTTCTACTTGCAAGCAAAGATAAGCCATAAATTAGATGTGGGGACCTTATATTTGAAACTACACTTGTAAGTATTCATGGCACTATTTCTATCTCTGTTAAATAACTGGTAACATACTGTGGCACTGAGTAATAACACAAAAATCCATGGGCCCATACTAATGTAATATGTGCGTAGAATAGATATGTACGTAGAAAGGGGTTATTTCAATTGATAAATGTAGAAGGGATGACAGAAACAAAAAATCATCCTTAGGTAAACACCCCAGTACTAATTGTTGCAGCAAAAACCACTGATAGATACTAGAGGCAGTGGATGAAAGTATGAGAAATGGAATAGTACCTCCCTAGGAAACACTAATTACAAAGGGACACACTGCTTTCCCAATACCAAAGATAACCAATTTCACCAAGGATCTCTAGTAGGAAGACCGTTGGTAACGTGCACTGGCTGATAGGATGCAGTGAGATGAGCATATCACTTAGTGTTCTTGCCAAAATGCACACCCTGAACCTAATCAGAAGGAAGACAAACTCCATCTACAAAACAACCAACACTCTTAAAAAATGTTGAGGTCACAACAGACAAAGACTATAGAACTGTCAACAGAATGAGGCAGACCAAGGAGTCACGGCAACTTAGTAAAATCCAAGATTCTGGATCGGATCTGCGACCTTAAGAGACAACAGTAGGAAAATGTGAAATTTAAATAAGGCCTGTGAATCAGTTACGAGTATTTCAATATTAATTTCCTGACTTCAGTAATTGTGCTGTGTGATGTGTTCACATCAGGGGAAGTTGGGTAAGAATAAAGGGAACTCTATTTGACTTCTGCAATTTTTCCATAGGTTGAACCCATTATGTTTTAAAAAATGAAGGAAAACCTAAAAGATTTTAAAATAAAAGCAAAAAAAAAAAAGTAAGGCCTCATATTTCACAATAAAATGACCACTTTAAGGTAAATAATAGTGCTTCAAATGTTTAAAATATAAATGAAAATTAATTTAAATTGTGTAAAACTGGCATAGGAAAAGGTTTAAAGGTCTAAGTCCCAGAAAAAGACCCACAATATGCCATCTATGAGAATTCAGTATTTGGTAACAGTGACATTTCATATTAATGGGAAAATTACATTTTATTCAAGAAATATGGAGGGCAATGAATGAGCTATCTAGCTAAGTGGAAGAAACTAAGCAGGCTGTTACCTCTTTTCTTACATGTAAATAAATTCAAGTTTAAAAGCTAGTGGCATCCTTAAAAGTACTAATAGAAAACATGAGCAGATAATTTAAATCATGGGCAAAAAGGCCAATCTAAATATTACAAAAAAATCATAAGTCATAAAGATGTGATCTCAGTTAAAACGGAATAACTGGGAGAGGGAGTGGGGGAGAGAGTGTTGAGCCAGGGCCCCCGCTGCTGCCTCCATACATACAAGCTGTGCTCACGCATGTGTCAGCATGTGCGGTACAAAGAAGGGACTGGAGGCCCGCTCTGGGCCGCGGACCGAAAGCCCTCCGCCAACCACCTCCGCCTCTCTGGCTTCTGCCTCGCCATCTGTAAAATGAGCCGCGCTGCATGTACAGCTCTGACCCGTTACGGTCCTAGGAGGCCGTCGGTCAGGCGGGAGCGCGGCCCTCCAGCGGGTCACGTGGGTAACCCGCTGGGCCCCTTACCTCTCCCCCGGGCAGGTGCCGGC